ATACTGCTAAATATCCTACAATGCATGGGACAACCCTTGCAACAGAGAATCTTCTGGCCTAATGCAACATAATGCCCGAAGTCGAGAGACCCCGCTTTAGAAGAATTCATCCTTGCCGTCAATTAAACTACACGAGCCACTGCTGTATTTTTTGGACTATAAGACACACTTTTTTTTTCTCCAAATTTGGGGAGGAATAATGGTTGTTAATGCTGCTGTTGAGTTCTGTTTACATTTACATTGGTGAAATATGATGTTATTTATGCTATTAAATATTTTACCACACTTTTTGCTTCAATTTTTTTTTCCTATTTTCCTCCTGTAAAACCTGGGTGTGTCTTATGGTCTGAAAAATACAGTAGGTTGTCTGCTTACTGATTATATTAAAACAAACGAAAGGCATAACTTAGCAAGAGGTTTCTGAACCTCTTTTAGCCATTCAGGAGCTCTTGGCAAGCGTATTGAATGTCTCCAGACACTGCAGTGAAATTAATTCCACCATTACAGACCCTGTGGACCAGCTGATGTGCTGAGTACTCCCTGGAATACTAAGTGAGCTTTGTCTCTGGTCTTAGAGAGAGTGTAATGTCCAAGCATGGAAGGGCAGAAATTCTGCTTTTGTCACTCTCTCATTTCCTCATAAAGCTCTAGGGTGAGCATGTCTCATTGTTTTAAAAGAAAGAAATAATACTCCTCACTAAAAAACAGACATTCCATAGTGGTCATTAGCCAGGTCCATTTTAAAATGTCTTTTATTCTTTTGGCTGGCATAGCTCAGTGAATTGAGTGCGGGCTGCAAACCAAAGTGTCGCAGGTTTGATTCCCAGTCAGGGCACATGCCTGGGTTGCAGGCCACGGCCCCCAGCAACCGTGCATTGATGTTTCTCTCTCTCTCTCTCTCTTTCTCCCTCCATTCCCTCTCTAAAAATAAATACATAAAATCTTTTTAAAAAATGTCTTTTATTTATTTATTTGCCTAAGATTCTAAGTTATAAATAATAATGAATCTATTACTTTAACTAGTTTTCCTGGGATTTTGGAAGAACTGATGAAGCAAGGCAGGTTAATGCAAACAAATAATTCTACTAAAAAGAAATCAAATTATGTAATCAAAATCCTTAAAGCTTAAAGCTATTTTAATGAGAAACATTGATTTTTGTTGGTTTTGCTTCACAGGCTTTTTACTCAGAGGAAAATTGTAGTGATAGCAGAAAGTGTATGAAATTTGAAACTCAAAGCTATTCTGAGCTATTTTAATAATGTATTCTTCTGTCAAAATAAATTTTAAACCAGATGAGAAGTAGTATGAATTCCCAGGTTTAAAAGTACACTCAGATCTATTCAGCTGGCTGCATTTTTAGTGGCAAACATCTCAGGATCCATAAATACTTCAGGATCCATAAATACTTCATTATGTATTTGAAACTTGGGCTTACACACTTAAATGATGATCTCTTCCTTTTGGGACGAGGGCCTGGGACACAGAGGCCCCTGATGGACACCCGTCAGAACACCCCAGCACTCAGGATCAAATCCCCTCTCTGTTTACAGCTCTGCCTGGTCTGACCGAGCTTCAGAGGTGTCCCAAAGACCCCCAAATGTCTTATCCCTCACCCTGACCTTACCAACAACTCCAATGTTTACATCCAGCTACCAACTTGATATTTTTTTAAAGATTTTACTTATTTATTTATTTTTAGAGAGGGAAAGGAGGGAGAAAGAGAGAGAGAGAAACATCAATGTGTGGTTGCTGGGGGCCGTGGCCTGCAACCCAGGCATGTAACCTGACTGGGAATCGAACCTGCGACACTTTGGTTCGCAGCCCGTACTCAATCCACTGAGCTACGCAAGCCAGGGCTGTACCACGTTTCAAATGTCATGATTCATCGATTGGGAGGTATGCCAAAGGGTATCATTTAATGCAGGGCGATAAGCAAGTGACTTGAACTGACCAGTCTGACAGAACCTATGGATTAAAATAATGTGAATTGTTGAGGTTGTTTTAATAAAGCATTAAACCAAAACATGGTTCCTGGAAAATCAAAAATCGAATTCTAGTAAACAGCAAAAAGCAATAATGGATTACGAAGGAACTCAATTCATTTTAATAAAAAAAGAGTCAAGAGTCCTGGAAAGTCCAATTCCTACCCCTCATGTTGAGTGACTCCATCAGCTGAATGTCTCAGTTCTGGGGTTTGCAGATGGGCTTCCTCGTCCATGATTCTTCCCCATGTCACCCCCCTTTTTTAAAGTAAATAATCAGGTTTAAAAAAAACACTCTGAAGTCTAGCATACATTTTTTTTTCAGAATAGTAAATCAGAAAGGAAAATAAAATTATATAGCTTGACAAGAGAAGGCTATTTAGAAAATTATAAGCACAGTTTTCATATTTGATACCTTTTGAAAAATGTTGAAGTGTGACTTTCAGGGGGTTTCTGACTTTCTGGCCAGTAGTTCCTGTCAGGGGTGTCTGTCATATTTCTGACTGCTTCCAACCGCCCTCCCCTCAGCCTTCTTGTTTTAGCCGCAAAATGAATGCAGTTCACTGTCCAACTAATGACTCAAACTCCTTGTTGGAAGCTTGGGAACAAACAGCAGTATTGACCCTCCCCACACCACCCCAAAGGCTTTCCAAGCCTGAGATTTTTCTTCAATAAAATTTTTAAGTGGACACCTTGACTTCGGAAAACTAGGTACACTGAGGTAGGTCAATGACACAGCGAATTTGTAAACGGTACTTGCAGTTCAGTAGAATGGGGACCAAGCCAACCAAAATTAAATATGAAAACATTACTAAGTCTGATCAGGAAGAAAAGAGTTAAAAGAACAACGGTTCACGTAGAATAGGGTACCTCAGAGTTACGAACAGAAATATGGGACAAGATTGCCACAGGTTCCTTAGATTCTGTTGGGATTATTTGTGAATGGGTGTAGATTTGGGATGGTTTCATGAAATTAAATATAAAAAAATTAAACTTTAATAGTGATGATATTATTTGTTGTATTGGGGAATTTTTTTGAAAAAGAATTAAGGACTTTTTCCTTGACTGTTTTGACTTCTCCTGAGTGGCTATTTTGATCAAGAGCACCCTGTCCTGGTCAGAGGTCTTTATGGTTAACCTCTGTTTCTCCTCTAGATAACAGCTGCCCATTAGCAATGTCCAACCCTGGACTCTGTTTCTTTTCCCCATCCTAGACATCTGTGCCGAATCAGAACAAGAGAAAGGATTTGTAAATTAAGAAAGTGACTACAGGATACTTTTTGAGATACTAGAGCTAGTTTTTCAAAGGGATCCTGAAATTTAGGTTTAGAATCATGAACAGTTTTTCAGCGTTGGTGTCAGTTTCAATTACGGCGAACCACCGTGGGAAAACAAGTCACCCCGTATGCCTTTTATTTGTGTTTGGATTTTTTCCCTTTTGAACAATACACAAAGAACCACAAAGGCAGGATGAATCAGCTCAACCTCACTGATGTCACTTGATACTCTAAAGGAACAAAGAATTAAGAAAAAGTCAGATAAAGTCCAAATTTGAGCCCATTAGGATTGGTGGGGAATAGGAGGAGAGTTTTCTTACACCTAGGAAGATTCAATGGTAATCTTGAGTTTGGCTACAAATTTAGTATTTCTAATTATAGATTAGCAAGCCAGATTCCAAAAATAAAAAATTGAGAGAAGACCTCTTTGTCCTTCACTAGACAGGGTTTAGTGCCCCAAACTGTGTACCTTTTCAAATGGGAGACTTTTTCATACAGGAGCTGTGTGGATGACAGCTTTGGCCAAAGTGTGGCTGCTGACAGCATTCACCCTCCATGTCTCTCCTTTTACAATTTATAGCTGTGTCATTAGACATGGGTATCAGCTAATGCCTGAATTTTCCAACGCATCTCAGAACTCGATTTGCAGAGAAGGTATCACTATTAAATTACTTCCCGCCTCATCCTTTTTGTTTTCCCCAATGAGTCACAGCCGTCAACTAGTATTCTAGACAAGGGATCAAGAAGCAGCGGATTCAGAATCACTTGCTTAGGCCAAGAGATGGAATTAAGTCTGTTGAGCGGACTCTGCTTTCCTCGTGCTGTGAGACTCTGCAGCATGAAATGTTTTTCATCCTCTGTCTGTCTGCTGGTTCTTCTGGTTCTGTTCATTATACAGAAAAAGCTTCTCCATCCACTTTCAGCTTCTTTTTTCCTTTTTTTTTTTTAAACAGAAGTGCTGGCATGCAACTTACCTCCAGGAATAGCTCAGAGCTAGTGCTCTCAATTTAGTTATGAGAGTTACATTTCTCTCCTTTCTGAAAATGTTCTCCCTCAATCTCTGTAATCATGACCCAGTAAGAACTGGGTGATTTCAATTCAAATGAAACGAATAACCTTGTAGAACATATAGGAAGGAGCCTATTGCATGTCAACCACAGGTACTCACATTCTAAGCCGTAAGAATTATATTTACCTATAACGACATCCCTTCCTTTGAAAAGGAAGGTATTGTGTGTAAAGCTGGACTCCAGTACATGAAAATGCAGCCTGTATACTTCTTAGGCTGAAAGGGGTTTCAAACAATGACTGTATTATAAAAATGGCAGAGAAATGGCCCACAACTTTCATGACGGGGAATGCCTCCTAGCAGGAGCTGTCTGGTATATTGAAAAGAACCCCAGAGCCCCTCCGTGGTCCTTGATTTCTCATCACATAATTCTGTTTCTGAGTCTTTTTGCCTGTCAGTTTTGAAAATATCATGGTTTTTCCTTTTCAGATAATTGATCACATTAATTAACCTGTTGAAATGGAGCGTAATGGGAGTAGAAACATGAAGTCTATGGGTGGTTTTGCTTTTTTGTTGTTTTTGTTAACAGTCCATATTAGCCAGTACGTATTTTCCAAAGGAGACTTCTGCAACCTTGCATTTACTGAATCAGGCAACTTCAGTCCTAAGCCCAAGGACAGGTGCCCGCTGCCCTGCTTTCTCAGACCACGTCCCCGGCCGCGTCTACTTACGGAGGCGCAAGCTGTGTTTTCAGACCTGTCTTCCACAAAGCCAATCTGGCAGGGCGTCCTCTGGTTCTGCAGCCAGTAGTCTGTAGACTCCAGGAGGCTATTGCTGCAAAGCACCTGGGGAAACCCGGAAAAAAACCTCCTCAGTGATGTTTCGGCAAAGTTTTCTGTTTCTGAGGAAACTAGATGCTTTCTTTTCCTTGGAGCCTCTGGGTATGAGGAATCGCTTGAGGGGTAATAGCACCTCTGGACTGTGTAAGATAGTCAGCCAGGAACCGGTGTTAGAGGGATGCACGGGTGTTAGAGGGACGCACTGATGTTAACACCGGGGAGTCCTGTCTCATCAAATCCAGCATCTGGACCTGTCCGTGTCTGTGTGACTTTTGCATAATTTGCAGTCAAATGCTTGTTTTGGGGAATGTTTTAATTGGCCATGGAGATCAAACTTCATTTCAGTGTAAGTTCGGTTTGACTAAATGTTTTCAGTTTTTAAAAATGAAGTGTTTTTCCTTGTGGTACAATGTTGCTACTGAAATGATCGTTCTTCAGCTCTTCGGCTTTGCACACTCACCTGTGAAAACAGGCATGATTCTTCTAGAACACCTGTGGTACTATAAGTTTAAAAACCACTAGGAATGAGTCGAGTGCATTACAACCACCATATTTTCATTTAGAAATAGTATGGAAATGCAAGGCACACTTGAATACATGATTTAACAAAACCAAATATGGTTTACAAATACCTTGCTTCTGGGCTTGGATTAAAGCAAGGAAGAAAAATCACATTTCTTAGCTAAAACATGTTGAAGGTGCAACCTCATACATAATCAAATGATTCAATTTCTTCCACGTCTAAACATTACTTAAATATTTAAAAATTTTCTCACCTTATGTAAAATTTCCAATGCTCTCCTGTCACCTTTTACTTTCTTAGGGTACATGTCTGCTAATATTTGATTAGTACTTTCACTGAGGCAATAAAACAGATTTAATCCTCTTGGTTAATGCCAGAAAAATAGAATGGCACTTCAATTACATTTCATTTGTGCAACGAAGGACTGCCATTCTGTAGGGGTAAGAATACATTAATTTTTGTCTCTGAAGCGTGAGATAACCAAATATATTTCTGACACATTTTCTATAACATTGTTTTGTTTTAGCCAAGTGATATTATTACTTTTAGATCTTTTCCAACTCAATGTTTATTATTACCTAGAGAGGACAAATTTTCATCATTCTTGTCCAGATCAGTATACGGAGGCACTTTGTGGGTGAGCAGGGGCTTGAGGGGTGAACTTGGGTTATTTCTGCCGCTTAAAAGTTGGCAATAGGACTTCTCAGTTCCCTTACAGATTTTACCTCAACGGGGTGTGGTTCTTAAAGTGTGAGGTGGTACCCAAAGGGTCCCTGAGATCTTTCAGGGGGTCCAATGGTCCAACGGTGTTTATAATAACTGTGAGGAGTTACTTGCACTTTTCACTCGCATGGCCTCTCGAGCGCTCTGGACCTCCCCAGGCTCCACACAGCCCGTGAGAGCGCAACAGAAGGAGTGCAGAAGCCAGTCTCCCTAGCTCTCCTCACAAACATGTTTTGTTCTGGAAAATAGATACTTTACATAAAAATAGGTGTGTTCACATGTACTGTGCCTATTTACCAATTTTTAAAAATAATTTATAAAATAATAAATTGGTATTTTTATTGGCATTATTATTTAAAATTAACTAATGACATATAAACAGGTGTTTTTCAATCTTTAGTTTATAATATATACTATGGAAATATCAATTAATATATCCCCCTATAAATAAAAGTTTTTGAGGTTCACCAATGTTTTTTGGAGTGCAAAGAAATTTTGATTTCAAAAAAATTGAGAACCATGGACCCAGATTAACTTTATTTAAAGTAAGAAATAGTCTCTCAGCCCCCCACCCCCCCCACCCCCCACCATTCCCTTTGATTTCTGGAACACAGTAGAGTTCTGGACTATGGGCGTTAGTGGTCTAACGAGGGGGAAGACCTGGCGTGGTCATTAGCATCAGGATGAACTTGGGCAACTGATGTGAATTCTGAGTCTGAGTTTCCACACCTGGGAATAGTGATAACACTACCCCCCTGGTGGGATCACTGGGTATTCCGTGAGTGGATAACCCATGCAGACAGCAGGTTATCCTCTTCATACATAGTTTTCATTACTACTATCTGGGACAAACTACAAAGGAAAATAGAAATTTAGATGCCTTCACCTGAAATTAGTGGACTGAAAGCATTTCAGATGTTTGAAGGTACATTTTTTAAGCAATATTCTCATCTAAGCTGTAACTGTAGTTTTGCATTTTGTAGTGTTAATAGTTACAGGTATGTTTTGGATGCTTAGAATGTGCTGGGAAATGAGCTGAAATGTTCATGTATTTATTTATTCCTCATTGTAATGCTATCTGGTAGGGATTATTGTAAAAGTTAGACTCTTCACAGAAATTGTGATTTTGAATATGACCTTGAGGCTCAGAGATATTGGAGTGTCTGCCCAACTTGTTCAGAGTTTGGGTTTGGTTTTGAAGACACCATCCATGTCTGTGAGTAAAGTCCTTTAACAATGTTGCCTTCCATGACTCACACAATTGGGTCTAATTTGGGGTATATTTCTGAAAAGTTATGTGCAGGTAATATTTGTAAATATAACTCCATGGTCTTATGGACTTCCATTTCTAAGTTTTCATTACTGAAATGCTGAGGTGCTATTTTTCCTTAAGAAGAAGAAACTTTCTTCTTGTAAAGTTTACAAGATGTCAACTTTAATTTTGTAAATTAAAGGGATGTAAATGATAATTGCATTAATCCATCTGGCAAGTATGATCAGTATTTTAAATTCCCAACGGAAGGCATACCTTGACATCTGCTTGAGTTACATTAAACCAGACCGACGTCATTTTGCTTCCACTCTTAGCCTTTTTTATGAGCTTCAGAATTTGACACTCATCAATAAAACACAGCCTTCACTCACAGCGTCGTGAGAACATTAGAGGTTTAAAATGGGTGCGTCAAATGAACATAACAGTTCATAACAGTACTTTGCAATGCTTTAACAGTCCTCTGACTGTAATTACTTCTTCGCTCCCTCCTCAAAATTAAACCCTGGGATTCTCTTTTTTAAAAAATATTTATTGATTTGAGAGAGAGAGAGAGAAAGAAATTGGGAGAGAGAGGCGGGGGGGAACATCAATTTGTTGTTCTGCTTATGTATACATTCATTGGTTGCTGCTCCTGCATGCCCTGACTGGGTACTCAATCTTCAGCCGCGGTATACTGGGATGTGGCTCTAACCCACTGAGATACCCAGCCAGAGCCTGGATTTCTTCTATATCCAAATACATTTAAGGCACTATAGTATCTTGGTTGCAGCAAAACATGTCAACAGAAGAACACAACTGTCACTTATCAGAGCAAATGAATTATTCCTGCCCTAAATCATGCTTAGGAGGAGGACAGAGTTAATGCACTTGGGCATCAACACAATGAATGCACTTGGGTCTTTCAGGAAAGGGGTGGGCTGGTTTGGTATACATATTTTTTTGAAACACAGAGAAGCAGAGATGAAGGTGCCAGAAAGTGTGGGCCGGACATTCGGCACTGCCAGGCTCCTGAAGTTATGAAAGAGCCTGTCCCATGATGTGGCCGGGAGAACTGACGGCTACCTGTTGGATTCCCTATGGGAAAGGAGTGCATGAAGAGTAATCTGTCGAGTCTTCTCCTTTAAGGGTGCTTTTTCTGTTCCTATCTTTAAAATAAATAGCAACTAAATTGTACAAAGTCCTGTCCCACCCTATGCTAGGAGCGAGGGAAAAGTCAACAGCCTACGAATGTGATTACTCCGCAGAAAATACTAGAAAGACTTCACACCTGGGGTTCCAATCCCAGGTACTGAGTGGCAGGGTAAGGAAGCAGAATTGGGAATGGAACCTAAATCTTCGAATGCTCCTGAAGAGATGTTTTGAAGAGAGTTGCTTTGTTTCATGAGAGTATTCATTCACTATGTAACCTTCAAATTGAAATTTTATGCATCATAATTTGAAAAACATTGCATCATATTATATTAATACTTAAAACAAAATAAGTTTTTTTCCATATACTTTATAAATATTTAGGGATTAATTATTTAGAGCTTATATTCTTTAATTATTGACCAAGTCATACTATATTTACTGAGAAATCTCTGGGTTAATTCAGAGAATCTGAATTTAACCTCTGGATTCATGAGGTAGAATTTAAAGGCTAATATACCTAATGTGCTTAAAAACAGTGCTCAACACATAGCAAAGGCTCAGTACACATAGGCTAACACAGAAATGACTGTTCCCTGTGTCCAGGCTTAGAGGGGTCAATAATTTGTCTAGTGAGTGTATAACTACGATTTAAGCCAGCCACTCTGGTCCTGAAGCTGCCACTAGGCAGTGCTCCACTAGAGTTGGTAAAATCATGGAATTTCTCATTCTTGGCTTCTACCAAATCCTGGCCTGGGCATTTCCCCATCTCTTCCTCGGGGCCCCGGTCTGGGTGGTCGGGAGGGCTAGGTTCTGGTCTCAAGCCTACTGCATTCGAGTCAAGTGGCCCGCTAGCTCTCAGACTCAGTTCGCCCTCTGTGAACGATGAAATCAAGTCACCCGAAGGTCCCTTCTACACCGGACATCCAGTAATTCAGCCCTCTCTCCTCTGTTCACTCCCCCATCCTCCCTTTCCCCGGTGCAGGAAGAGCCACGTAAGCCAAGAGAATAAAAACGTAGCTCCAACAAGCCACACAGCATCACACGTAAAGCAATTGTAACCTGTGAAAAGCTTCTGTTTGATGGTTTAGACAAACCATTAGACAATGAAGAACACTTGAAGGAAGGATATGTGCTGGAGAATGTAATGATTCTGGAGCTTTATGACTATCATCTTGCCCACTGACAGTCACTTTCTGAGGGGAAAAGAATAAAACTCACTAGGCTGCTAATGGCTCGTTTATTTATCTGCTATTTTTAGTTGCAGGTTCACTTATTGAAGAGTTAGAACGTGCTGTGCATTCACAAGTTTGAAATAATAACGGCACGTTTTCTCTTAAAATTTCATGAGTGTCCTAA